AGCTAAACTTTTTTGTTATTTTTATATAAAAAATATCGTCTAAGCTTTAACCAAAACCGTGTAAATCAAAGCTTCAAACTTTATACAAAATTTAGGAAAATTCAACAAATTTTCATCAAAATTTCAACTTTTTATTTTGAATTTTTATAAAATTTTTGGGTATGTAGTTTTATAGCCCATACAATTTTAGTCTAATGAAGTGCAAGTTTCTAATGGCTAAAAAATCGCGTTCGTTTTTGAGATTTTTATTTTTTGGCGACGGATTTTTGCACTTTTTTTCACATGTGCAAGTATGAATTTCTTATGAAATAAAACGCGGGAGACCGTCAACAACAATATTTCAAAATATCAACGCAAGTTTTTGTAAATTGCGCTTGTTATATTAAAAAACCCGAAAAAGTAGCCTCCAAAAAAAAACAATTTCAAAAAACACCGCTATTTTTTAGCTGTTTGAAACTTGCACTTCTGAGGACTAAAATTTCATAGGCTATAAACTGAAATGAAATTTTGATGAAAATTTTTTGAATTTTGTACAAAGTTTGAAACTGAGATTTACTCGGTTTTGGTTAAAGCTTAGACGATATTTTTATATAAAAATAACAAAAAAAAAATTTGCTGGGAATATGTTACGAATATAAAAAGAAAACAAAAACAACACGTGGTCATTTGTTTGAGTCAATGTATGAGTATGTACATTAGGGCGGACTAATTTGTTCGGAGCAAAATTTTCGAAGAAAGTGTATAGCAAATTCAGATTCCGCGAGTAATCTTAAGCAAAAATGGCGAACTAACTATATACCAAAAAATGACGTTTTACCCTCTCGATTTCAAAAGAAAAAGAAAGAAAAGAAATTTACCTTTCATTGTACAAAACAATTTTTACGCTAAGGAACTTGTGAAGTAGTTTCTTAAATAAGAATAAAACACAAGATTTTGTAAATTAAAAATTTATTTCGTTCAGGAAAAATTAGTATAATACACTAATTTTTCTTTTAAAAATTGGGAGGGTCAAACGTCATTTTTGGTTTATATTTTTTTCACCATTTGTACTTAGAATCAAACGTAGAATTCGAATATGCCATACACTTTTTGAAATTAAATTACTTCGCCTTAATGTACATATGTATGTACATATTTACATCAAAAAGGAGAAACTTTCCACTGCACCACCAGACACATCAGTGCCCCTATCAATTCGCCATCTATCCAAATTTCCTACAAACCAGCATTGAATCGCGTGAGCAACCTACGTTTTTCGACGCCACTGATCATCTTGGCAATCAACAGCAAAATTCATACGTCCAGGCAAGCAAACTGATACTTAA